CCCATTCTCTCCGGCCAAGGGCGCATGATATAAGTGCTGGTCATAGAAATAAAGAAAACTACTTATTAATAACTACAAAAGTATTGTGAATAAATATAATAATTGGATTTCTTGTAGTTTACAGAATTACAAATCAACTTGAATACAATTTGTTCACAGAGCCTGAGTATTACATTGAACAAAAACACTGCAGCTTAATCTGACGGCTGAGAATGTCTTTTTTTTTTGCTCAAGTCGACATATGATATTCCATACCTGATGTACACCACCTTCCCATACTTGCTAAAAATTTCCTTCAGCCAGTCATGATCAGCATAAGGTGGGAGTCTTTCCTACAGAATTGAGGTATTTTACATTAAATTATTTTTACTGGAGATCGGGTGCGAAGAAAAGCAATTTTCAGGCTTGCCCTTCGAGGAGGGTCGTACAGGGGTATTTTCGTGATGCATGATTAGCTGATTTCATTTTCCATGAAATGTGAATTTAAGAAAATTATTCTTTGTGACTCGAAGAATCTTATTTTAATAAAAACTGCTTGTCAAAATTTCTGACAAGCATACCCAACCTTTTGAAATGGGAATTGCCCCCTATCCTTCAGACAAGCTCTAACTATAATGCAATAACCTGAAAATCATTCTCACTAGCGACACAAATTTCATTTCTTGCGGCACTTCTGTAATTGGAATTTCCTCAAATTTTTCCCAAGAACAGACTCTACTAGCCCGACTAGAAAATCCAATAGCCCCGGGTTGTCAGACAGGACTTTTTTTGCACACTGGGAGAATGATAGACTCGATCACATACACTGAAAATTCTCTAGGCTCAATTAAGGTGAACAACAAGAAATAAACTATTTTAAAAATTAACAAATCAATAGTAAATAAATTACAGTATCAACCCAGCTGGTGGGTTTCCATGTAGGTCATCCTCTCTCCAGGTTGATTTAAAAATGTTGCTTTTTTAAGAGAGGAAAACTAAAGTACCTGGAGGAAAACCTTCAGAGAAAAACAAGAGCTAACAACAAACTCAACCTACATGTGACACCAGGGTGGAACTGAACCTGGGCCACATTGGTGGGACGGTGAGTGTTCTCACCACTACTCCAACCTTACCCCCCTATTCCTTGATGGAAGGTTTCAGGTTTGAACCATTACTAAGCTGACCAATATCTTTGGAATATTGCCAATATGTCTGTGGATCTTCTTTTGGGAATCTTCAGCAGTGTTTAAAAGTTTTCCAATGCATATAAACTTAGGAAGTTTAGAACATTTTTTGGGAATTGGAAGTCAACATCCTTTTAAATTTTTGCTAAGTGCTCAAATACTTACAATGTAGATGGTTTCTGCATCAACATTTCTTGGCTCAGGAACAGGAGTTGTACGTCTGACCATTGTCTCATCTTCGCTGACCTGAAAATATATTTCAGAAATACTGTAGAGTTTTCAAAACAATAATCCGACTCTAAACACTCTCAGTGGATAAAATGTGTGGTTCCTTGAAACATGCACACCCACCACCAAGGCTAGTCTCTTATGCAGCTGGTATTTGGGTGATCATGAAACAAACCTTCCCCAGGAGTGTAGCATGATGGCCTGAAAAACAGCCACACACAACACTGGGCCTACGAATCTAAAGGTCACTAAAGGCCCTGATACTTGGGGCAATATTGTGCGCATATATTGCATTTTTGGCATAGTTTCCTGGAATTCCAAAAAACCCACAAGATAATATAATTCTTTGAAAACAGTAGTGCACAGTAGGATATTTTGGGAAAAATTGCCTGACTGTTTGACTTGTACACCATTTTCTTCTGCAAGACAAGTTGGAGGTTATATAATTACAGGACCTTAGCAAAGCAAGACCAGAAGACTTACCTCAAGCATAGAGGACACTTTCATGGCTTTTACAACAAGGCTTATGTCATCTGTTATCTGTTTCATCCTGTTAAAACTAGCAATTGTTGAAATTGCTACAACTGCAGGGAAAACAAAATAAAAATGAAGAGTAACAAATCATGGTAGGAACAAATCTGTTTTGAACAGGGCTATCAGAAATTTCTTATGGTAGGTGGCTTTATTTAACCGTTGGAGTAGCTGGGTAATTTTGCTATCTTTTTCCAATGAATCAGACAAATAGCTCAGCAAAGAAGTTGGCTGTGACCATGATGTAGATGGTGATTTTTGCTGGAAGCTGACTCCTTTAAAAATCCTGTTTTTAAATTTTGATATAATTACACAAGAGACAACACGTGATACATGACTAGTTGCAAGTATGACAGTGGAGAATGACAGGGAGTAGAAACTTAGACAATAGGCTGGAATAAGGAAAAAGTGTCCATTTTGTTAATCTAAATGTAGGAACAGAGTTGCAGCTCAGGGACCTTAGAAACAATGACATAAAAACTAGTGTGGAAGGAATGAAATATGAGAACTAAGGATCACAGTCAGAGCCATAGCTAATAAAAAGCAAACCAAGGCAATTGTATCTGTCTCAGTTATTTATTTTTTTTGCTTTAATTTGTTATTTATCGTTACGAAAAACATCCTAAATACACAGGAAGAGGATTAAACTACGGACATCGCCTCAGTCATAATCTTTTTCTGGCTACAGCCCTGACTGTTTCTAGTAGTATGGCAACAACTTTTACAAGATCTGCAGAAATGGTATATCAGCTTGTCTGTTTGATTTATTGTTAGTTATACTTACATCCATCTGGGTGCTTACTGATTTCTTGTTTCATGAAACGATCCTTCTGGAGGTTTGCGTTACCAAAGTAAAACTCAACCTATTTGAAATAGAGGAAAAAACATAACAATAGAACTAAGCTTCCACATGACCGCATGATGCCTCTCACAGCTTCAAAAATACTAGTTGAAAAAAAAAATTCTTGTGAAACAGGTCACAAACCTGTTCCTGGAGCTGCGCTTTTATTTTCTTGGTTCTTTTCTTGTGCTTCTTGTGCATTTCATTATCTGCTGATATCTTCAACAGATCTTGACTATCCATCGTTTTTGCCTTGTTAAACTGATCATCAAACTAATGTAAGAAAACTAAAGCCTAGGGTAAAAATAATGAAAAAAAGAGTAGTTTAAAGTTAAAGTAAATGCACATATGTGGAAAACAGAAACTACAAAATGCCTGCTTTTTGTTGCAGGTAATAAAAATCATATTGATCCTATTCTGTCAATGGTTTTTACACCACAGCAGTACACTAAATTGTATTATATTCCAAAGATTACACAACAGAATTCTGACGTCTTTAACCCTTGACTTTTTTAACCTCCTAATAACTTCAACCAAAAGTTGTCTCCCTCCCCATATTTATCAAACACTCTAATTTTACCCCCAATTTCTCAAACTACCGAATTTGCAAACCAATTTTCAGTTCCCATGAATGTTTAGAAAACTGGATTACACTATTAGTATTTCAAAACCTGGCTGAATAATATGCCATCATTTTTTTTTTGCCACACAACAAAAACAAAAGGGCGAAGATTGGTGTACAGAAATATATTTGTACCGTACATCCTTGAATTAGCCCCCTCACTCAAATAAGCGCCCCCTTCGAATAAGCGCCCCTCCTATCAACCAAAATTTAAAATAAGTGCCCTATCTCAAATAAGCGCGCCCCTTCACTTCCCCCATTTTGTGGACGAGTACTGAGCCAACAAAGGACTATAGTTTTCGGCATGCAGTATTAGATTCACACCTTGTTTCAGTTTGTGAAAATGTTAGGTGAACACGTTGAACACGTTGAACACGTTAAGTACTAATGGTGCCATGATTTAAACTTTAGGATCAGCTTTTTATGTTGATACACAGCTTATGTTGTTGTTTAGTGCAGATGATGTATTAAAAAAATGATCATGTCAGGCCACGATTTGGGAAAAATTAAATAAGGGCCCCTCCTCGATTAAGTGTCCCCTCAGATAAGCGCCCCCCATCTACTCAAAAATTTGAAATAAGCGCCCCGGGTGCTAATTCGAGGATTTACGGTATTGGAATTTTGTCATGAGGAAGCTGCATACAGTACCTCTGTGATCTCTCCCTTAGTGACAAAAACCACTGTCACTGAAAATGTTTGATTCACTCAAGATTTCAAGATTAAGATATAAATCCCATTGTAAGGCAACACTCACCTTAAAGCAAACTTAGCTTACATGACCTCATTGTATCAGGCATTTTTCGCAAATTAATATGTGCAGCTCCACTTATTTGTGTGACCATACAATATTATAGTCTGACAAGAGACAAATTAAGCTCACTAACACGTGAGTAAGCTTATTTTCACGGTATTGGTATGCTCCTGATCTGCAACACCCCGTGAACAGCTGTTTTCTCCTCCGCCAGCGTAGCGTCGGCAAAGGAGAAACCAACTGCTCGCAGGTTAGATCTGCAGAACATGACTTCCAAAAGACAGTGACCAATTAAAGCTGATTAAAGATTCTAGAGAATGCCAGAGAAAGACCCAATTAGGCAATACATAGACCTAGTCAAGCTACGAAATAATGTTTATCTTTCTGAAAATGTCCTGATAACGAGCTTGTGAGCTACAATGGATAAGGTTTAGACTTTACCTTCGTAGTGCCTTTTGTGAGCCTCTCGCAGCTAATACGTCCGCCATTGCAGGCCAGGTTGCTGCATTGTCCTTTTCAACCTGGAACGGGGAGGGGCTGGGTTGAGGGTTGAGGTTGAAGGGAAAGGGGAGTGCAATGTACCCGATCGATCACGGACTGTTTTTCCTCAAGCCTTGGTCTCTTATCTTAGCGAACTTTCCTACATACTTCTCTCCGAAGATGCATTTCGAAACCCTCAACCTATTGCAAGCGGAGAGAATGGAGGGTAATTGAACAAAAGAGTAATTCCTCATTTAAGCCCGATTGCTGACAAAGCAATTTTAAACGAAATTGCTAACAAGGAATTTTCGGATCACTTCCATGTTTAGAAATCCCAGGAAAGTCTAGAAATAGCCAAATCCTGTGACGTGAATTTTTTACACGTGAACTAAAACGTATGTAAAGCTTCTAGGCAACGCGCGTGGCGGTGTAACATTTTAACTGCGGGATGAATACATATCTAAAAATAACGGTTGAGAGGGTGGATTAACTCTCTCACTCTTCATCCTCTCGATGTAAATTTCCAATTCGAGAGCGAAAA